GTATAACAATTTAAACCATGCAATGAAGTCTGGCTCCTATCCCAGAAGTGTCTCTGTGGGCTGGCCCAGTAGTATTGTATGCACTGCCATCTGAGAGATCTTTGCTTCATTTTCAGTCTCAATTTCTTGCTCCCTAGGCTGGAGTGGAACAATGCAAAGACAATCAGTGCACTTAGTTCCTGGAGACGCGGGATTACTTCACATTTCCCAACTCAGCTGGAGGAACCAGTGTAAGGGAAATAATGCTGCCAGACTCAAAAAAAAAAAAAAAAAAAAAAAAAATCTGGTCATCCTCAGCTTGAAAGACAGTGGTATTCCTCAGAAGGAAACATCTTAAGAGGGGTAAAGCATTTACTTTATGAAGAGTAAAGCATTTACTCTTTATGACTCTGAAAAGGTGCATGAGAGTGTCAGAATACCTACCCCGGTTAAGGAAATGCTTAGTTACTGATAAAACTAGGCAAACTTTTTGAAAACTCTGTTGTCAATAGAAAGAAAACACATGAAGGCATCATAGGATTTTCATTAAACTCCATGAACTGGGCAAGCATCCATGGAAAAGTATAAAAAGATGTAGTTGGATTTTCCACAAAGTTAATCAGTCCTGAAACCAATGGAATCATTGTATAATGAAGTGGCTTTTCTTTAAAAATCTTGTGATAGTTCACACTACTTTAACCACACTACTTTAACCACTTGCCTCTGAGTCAGAGAAACTGAAAGTAACAAACAAACAAACACCCCCTCAGTTTCATCACTGATGAGGAGTTAAAAAAAGTAAAGCCACCTTGAGAAAAAGTTATTACAAATCCCTTGTAATTGCTAAAAACTTTCAATATCAAACAAATTAAACACTGTAGTGTTTGATGCCAATATTTCACATGCATGGCCCAACAAATTAGCTATTAATCTTTTATAGCATAAAATTATTGCACTTCATTAATTAGCAGCCTGAAGGCTACATGTTCTTCCCAGATTTGCAATAAAAGAAATGTACAAACACCTTGCACACCTAGGAATTACCGATCTCACATATCATAACTTTAATATTAGTAAGTACTAACACGTCTTGATATAAAAAGGGAAGACAAAAGCTTTTTACTGTATTAATTTTGTAGAGAAAAATAGTAAAAAGTAAAGATTTTGTATGTAAAATATACATAGGCAAAGGCAGAAAAAATACTTCAGACTAGCTTGGAAACAGCAGATGAACAACAATCCACTGTATAATTAACAGCATTTGTGTCTAAGACAGTAAAAAAGTAAGTCTCAAGCATTCTATAAAATATTAATAAATACACAAAATAACCTCAAATGTAGAGTTTACTGCTTTGCAGGAAAACATTCATGTTTTTAGGTTGTATGTGGAACATTATATTAAATGCACCATTATAAAAAGATAATTACTGGAGGAGTGGATTTGGGGTTAAGCATCCAGGATAGTAATTACAGACAACAGTGACATCTAGTGGCTGCTTTGGAAATTAAACTAAAATTACAATATAAATGAGTCTGTTCCCACTTCCACAGGGCCCTACGAAATTGACAGCCATGTAAAAAATGTCACATGCCATGTAATCTGGTGTCCTCTTGTGAAATCTAACCTTTTGTGTGTTTTACCCTATATTATAGATTTCACAGGGGAGGCCAGTCTCTCTCAAATTGGGGGTCCTGACTCAAAAGGGAATTGCAGGGGGATCACAAGGTAATTTTAGGAGGGCCATGCGATTGCCAACCTTACTTCTGTGCTACTTTCAAGGCTGGGCAACCGGGGTGTGGCGCTTGTAATGTTGACTGTGTGTCCAGCTCTAAAGGCAACACCAGACCAGCAGCAATGCAGAAGTAAGGATGGCATGGTATGGTATTGCTATCCTTACTTCTGAAAGCAGCAATACAGAGCTGGGAGGCCAAAGAATGGCAGCTGCTGTGTAAGGGCCCATCTCTGCAGGTAGCAGTGCAGAAGTAAGGGTGGTAATACCATACCATGCCATGCCATGCCACCCTTACTTCTGCACTGCTGCTTGTGGTAGTTCTGCTTTCAGAGGTGGATTCCTGGTCAGCAGTCACCATTCTCCAGCTGCCCAACTCTGAAGGCACTGCTGCTGCCAATGGCTTCACAGAATTAAGGGTAGCAATGTTGCAGCCCCTATACAATAAACACTGGGACTCCCACCCCCACCACCACACAACTCCTTTCTGTGTCAGAACCCCCTACAATTACAACAATTTGAAATTTCAGATTTAAATATCTGAAATAATGAAGTTTACTATTTTTAAAATCCTATGGCTGTGAAACTGACCAAAATGCACTGTGAATTTGGTAAGGCCCTATAGCACTCTCCAACTGCTGTGGCACAAACTCATGAAAAAGATTGAAAAAGAATCCAACAACAGTGGCAGAGGAAGTGAACTTTAAAATGTGAGATTCAGTTGTTTAAAAAACAGGAGTAAAGTTTTTTGTAACGTCAGAATTGAACATTCAGAATGGAAATATGGTATCCTAAGATTTCGGTTAATAAGCAGAGACAACCACCTGGTTTAAAGGGGACGGATGTGAATGTGATGCCAGCATGACAAATGCACCTTGTAACAAAGTACAGTTAAAGCTATTCTAGGGCAACAAGTGAATTACTTATCTCTCCTCCTTCAGTTCTGCAAACTGTTTTTTTAAATAATATACATAAAAAAATTATTTCAGATTTCCCACACTACCACAGCATCTACCAAAATGCATGCCAGCAGAGGTCCCCCACGGTATCAACCAGCAGGTGTTGATGAAACATTTTAACTAGCAGGTTAAAGTTAAAAACAATTCAGGACACCTACTCCTGAGTAGTCCAACTGCTTTTCTTTCTTTTTGGTGAGTAGGGTCAGCTTATTTAAGACCAATTTGTCTCAGAATTTGCTTTTACTATTCGCCAAAAAGACTAGTTTATATTCAAAAACACAGGCCATCACTTAGAAACCATTCAGGCCTGCTGTTGACTGTTCTACTGAAGAAACTTATAACTGGCTTAATGAAAAAAAAATTATGACAATGCCAAAAAGTTTAAAAAGAAATATTTTGTGGTTAACAATGTTATAATAATTTAATGAAGCCAGCAACTTTACAAAACATTCCATATTCAACTTGGACTCTGAATTTCTCAAGACCTTAAGCATCAGCATGTTTTCAGGGAACTGACTAGAAAATTAATTCCTAGTTTTCAGAATTCTGAGAAGAATTTTGACAAAGAGAGAAAAGCTGATTTTCCACATATTTGCATTAATCCCTAAATGTACACCTAGCAATTACTGTCCAGTGCAACAGACATATACAAGAAGTCAAGAGCTCCATTTAAAAAAACAAAACAAAACAAAACAGGATGAATACCCAAAATCCAAGTAGTATTTGCCAGCATACCAGTCTACTTTTCAATATGCTTCTTTTGATAGTATTCAAATATAACCTAAGCATTTTTTATGTGAAGTAGTTTTGAAGTTCTTCAATTTTGGGGAGAATTAATACTGTGACTTCCCCCTCTGCAAGGACTACTGATTACAGTGTAGTCAGCAGTTGGCAACTATGGCACCTAATCTCATTTACACTAAAACCGTTTTATATCAGCGGGACAGTGCAAAGGGATCATAATGTAAATAAGAATTAGGCTTTACCTATATAGCCTGATCTAAACTCATTGGAGGCAGTGAGTTTTGCCATGGGCTTCAATGGGTTTTAGATTAGACCCCAATTCACCAGTGTGGCTCTAGCTTCCTAGAAGTAAGAAACATCTATATTCAAAGAATATTTATGTAACAATATACACTAGGGATGTTAAATTTAGATTAATTAACTAATCGAGTAGTTGATGGGATTTCCATCGACTATTTGATAAGAGTGCCTCCGCCTTTGATCTGTCGGGCTCTTGCTACAGTTCAAAAGCAGAAGCCTCACAGGAAGCACAGGGCCAGTGGGGGACTGACCCTGCATTCCCTATTGCGCCTGAGCCTTTGAAATGTACAAGAGTCCCAGCTCTTGTACATTTCAAAAGGAAGCCCTGAAGGGAGCACAGGGCCAATGCTGGGAGTCACAGCAGAACCAGCATGAGAGGTTTCCCTCTACCTCCTGTGGAGATGGAGCTGAGGGGAACCGGCTTTTAAGCTGGCTCTCCCCAGCATCAGTTCCTGCTCCCCCCTTGCTGCCTCTCTCTAAGAAAGGCAGCAATGGATGGGGCAACTACTAGTTCCATCACTAGTCGCTTATATCCTAATATACACATACCTGTACCACCCACCAAAATTCTTCCTCCTAAATTCTTAAACATGTATTTCTAGTTAGGCACCAGAATATCTTAATTGCCCATTTGTTTCTTACAGAAATTAAGAAAGGTGATTCACAATTGATATAACCACTTGTGGTAGTTTCAATCTATAGCTGCAAAAGCATTTACAAGCAGAGTCTCCACATCACAGAACAAGCACACTTTTGGTGGTAAAACTACCCTTGACTTCAATGGGAACAGTTAAATGCAGAGTACTTTTGCAAATCCTACTCCTTATAAGATCTATATATTTAGAGCTATGTAGTTTTGTTGTGAGAAGGTAAATAAGGGCACTGAATGTTTCTGGGCTCTAATTAGGGAAGTATTTACAAACTTCAAGACTAAGCAAATACCAAAATAAAAAGCTCCCCTTCCCTGCAAACGCAAAGCAAAGTTTCTGATACAACTTACATAATAATGGCCAAGTTACTGGTAAGGCATTGCCCCACTATGCAAAAGACTTGGGATTTAAGAGCAAACCGGCAACTTCTTTCCCCCAAGACAATAATGCATGGGAATGTTATTGGAGAAACATACAATTCTAAAAATAAGGGCATGAAAAAATTATGCAAAAGCTTGCATTTCAAATCTAATGTTCCTAATTGTCTCAAATTCTATTGCTGCTGTACAAATGGTGACAATGTTTTCTTTACAAAGAAAGATGGAACATAATTATCAGATCGAGAATCATTGACTTACCCGGATCTCCTGAAGGTTGTGGAAATTATTTCCTACCCTGACAGAGATCTTGCTTGGAGTATAGCTTTCATCAGATTTGTAGTCTGCATAAATACACAATGTCTTCACTGTTGTTTTTCTTCTGTAAGAAAGAAGCAGCAACGGCTAAGCAAGTATTTTAAGGAAAAAATATCCAATGAAGTGTTTCTTGAGATTTTGTCAAGACTGAGTTTTAAATTTTGTAAAACTTGGTGCAAATTAGGGATGTAAATGTTTAACTAGTTAACTGGTGGGGGGCTGGAGCAGCTCCCTGCCTGCCATGGGCAGAGGACTGCTCCAGTTTCCTGGAGGTCCACTGCAGACAAGGACTGCTCTAGCTGTCCAGAGCAGCTCCTCGTGCCCTCCCTCCAATCAATTAAACATTATGTTTAACTCGTCAACCAATTAAATGCAATTTTACATCCCTAATACAAATATGATTATACTGATTTTTAGGCTCTAGTGCAATAGCAGCTAGGAATTTACATATAATTTTTATGAAGTATATACATATAAAACAAACTTATAGTGGACTGCAAACTACACAGGCCTACGGAAACATTAGCAACCACACTGTCAACATGTGAAACAAAAATGCCGAACACAACATAAAAATTAAACACAAGATGATGCAACTATATCTTTCATCATGCACTAACATTAGCTAGGTCTGTGCTATGGTGCCCTGATAAGGAAAGCAGTTCTGTGAAGGGGATCAACAGGAAACAGGATCCAACTGGCAAGTACTGTCCTCAGTCATGGGAGAAACTAACCACATTAATGGAGTGCAGGTGTCTTTAATCAACAGTTAAACTTTGGTTCTAAGTATCATCATCGATACCTTGAACTGCAGCCAAAAAAGCAGAAAACTAATGCAAACATAGCACCGTATCTTGGTGGCTGGCGATACTGTAAAGACACACCAGCACAGCACTCACCTTGCAATTGCTTAATTCGTCATTTGCTATCATAAACCTGTAAGATAATTTATAAAAACAGATTTTGCAAATAAAGTAATGTAACCATGTTATTAAGAGAGCTCAATTTGCATTCCTTTGTTAATCAGAATGTTCAATATTCTTACACAAGAATTGTAATCACAACTTATTACCTAAAAAAAAACCACACAAGTATTTAGTACCTAAACTGAATGTTCACCAGATGAGGCTGTGATCCATCAGATTGCCAGTAGGTTTCTAGATTATCATCTCGTAATTGGTCCACTCCAAATCCTAAAGGAAGAAAAAGGTTTATAGTCTTTTGTATTGTGTTCCCTTGCTGCTGATATCACAAAAGTAATTTTTTAGCAAGATGGCTACCACAACTCTAAAAACACATGTGAGAAGTATTTCTAGCCATTCAAGTTTTCAGATATCTTTATCAGCCAAATGAGTGCTTATTCTTATGAGCCCAATCCGAAGTCTGCTGAGTATCCTTAACTCATACTGAAACTGATTGGAATTGAAAAAAAATGGCATATCCCTAAATTAAGTCTCAAATCCACAGATTATTTTTCCAGTATCCAGAACAAAATAAAAAAAAGAGGAGATCTGTCTGGCAAAGAATACCACCAATATTGTAAAGTTCTGTTTGCAAAACAGAACTTGGAACTCTCATCCGTAAGCTTCACAAAAACTCCGTGAGAGTTTTTTTTTAAAATCTGATGTTAGTTATCACTTCCACTCACGTTTCAAAAGAAAGATGTCAGAATTCTGAGAAAGCAAATAAGATCTGCAACAGAGATTAATTTAAAGCATTTGGCCCACTTCTGTGGTTGAAACTCTCCTTTGTAAGCTTCTAGTATGTCTCCAGCTGTGCTCAGCAAGTATTTTGCAAATAGGCTCTTATATTCTATAGCACTATAATTGTAGGGGAGGAAAACTAATTTTAACATTATAATCAGTTCAGGTATTTGAGGAGCCTTCTTTAGAGCCTTTTTAAATTAACTTTTTGTAAAAGCCTGAAATGCATTGTAAAATCATGAACACATGAATAGTGCAGTAAGACTGGATACCTATGCTTCTTGGGTAGTGGAAGGTATGTGGCCTGACTGCACCCAGAGTGTGCTAGTATGAAAAGCACAACACATGATATGTTTTAACAATCAGTAAGTGTCCTGGATATTTATGTTCTCCATCCCAAGGCTTCACTGTGAAAAGTAAGAGTCTAAGGAATAAACTCATGTGGGAGAACCACTACAGTTCCGGTGGCTCTATTTGGGTTTAGATTAAGATAGGAAGGTGCTACAGAACTAATATAACTATTGTTATCCTTGGCCATTTTAACCTCTTTCCTTTTATATTACTCTCCTTCTGGCACTCCATATTTTGTTTTGTAAATAGTAGGTATTTGAGATAGTGGGCCACAATTACTTAAAATTGTTTTTATTATGGATCTGATCCTGCAAGCTCTTACTCAGTGAAATAGGTACTTCCTTTGACTTTACTGGTGCTATGTAAATGAGTGAAGAGTACATGCATGAATGCTTACAGGACTGAGCCCTATACATGTATAATACACCAGATAGTTTTACAATTATTCCTTTATGTAATTCCTACATAAAACATAGAAATAATTCGCCATATTACTATACAGGCAGTCCCCGGGTTACGTACAAGATAGGGACTGTAGGTTTGTTCTTAAGTTGAATCTGTATGTAAGTCGGAACTGGTACATATTATAGGGGAAACTCTAGCCAAATATTTCTCCAGAGCTCAGTTTTATTCTCCCACACCTCACTTCCCTCAGTCCTTTATTCTCAAGCTGAGGTGTCTGCTGAGAAAAGCCGCTCCGCAACTCCCTGGTCTGCTGGGGCGGCGCTAGCTTCGCGTCTCCCTGGTCTGCTGGGGGGAAGCAGCTAGTGCGGGGTTGCCTCACCCCGTTTGTAAGTAGGGATCCGATGTAAGTCGGATCCATGTAACCCGGGGACTGCCTGTACTTGATTTTTCAGCTCATTCATCTGTTTTATAATCAAAAGGTTGATCTTTACTAGAGATGTGCATAGTTAAACAGTAAGCATCACCCTTATCAGGTGATGCTTACCAGTTATGGTTAACCCTGGAACAGCCTTCCTCCTGCTGCGGGGGAAGTGGGGGGGGGGGGGGGGAGCGGTTGCCACACACCAGGGCTGGGGGTGCTCCCACCCAGCTACAGCAGCCCCCGGCTGCAGCAACCTGGCCTGACTGGAGCAGCGTGCCACAGCAACGGGCATTCCAGCCCGCCTGCTCACTTTTAAGCATTTAAACAGGTAACCATTTAACAGGATTTTACATCCCTAATTCTAATCATTATTTTAAATAACACTGTCATTATAATAAAATGCAGAACAAACCATTTTAATTCTAAACCATATAATATTTTTTTAAAAGATAGAAACTTTACTCTTTTGAATGAGCTGTTTACTGAATGACAGAAGTATACACCTGGAAGACCTCTCAAGTACACATTTATCTGGCAATAATTTTATTCATTGATGTTCTCTCTTAAATGAAGTCTAAATCTTACAAGTTTTGTTTTATAACAATCATGACCATTTGTAGAGCCCTACCAATCCATGCTCATTTTTGCGGATACAGATGCCAATACCAATTTTGTATCTAGAACCCAGAAAATGTGTGGCTATCCACTTTATATCTGCAGGTATCTGCATCCAATTTTGCATCTGAGCAGTGCTTTATTTGTCCCTTACCTAGAGATGTAATAGTGTAGTCAATTAACCGATTAACTGATAAGCAAAAGCTTATTGATTAATGCTATAGACTGCATGCAATTCTCCCCTCTCCCATACATTTTTAGCAGGCTGGCCAGCAGCCCACCTTAGTCCTGGCTTGTACTGGGTCTAGGACTTCCCCCACTGTGGCTCTGCATTTAAAGTGTACTATGAGTTAGGCGAGCAGGCAACCTGGCTCACTTCCTGCTCACGGCTGGGTCTGGGAGCTCAGACCTTCCAGCTGCTGCCACTCCATGCTGCTGTCTCAGTAACAGAGGCATCAGTGTGGGGCGACAGGAAGCTAGTCCACATGGGGAGCTGGTTTTTAAACTGGCTCTTCTTGTGCACCAGCTCCCACCTGGCACTCCATGCTGTTGCCTGATGCAGAGGCACATCAGTGGCAGGGGGATTCTAGGCAGTGGGGCCAGATTGCAGTTCGCAATTAGCAGTTTGCAGTAGTGGCTCCACCATAGAAACCTTGAGAGGTCATCAAGTCCAGAACCCTGCTATTTTTGTTTTTCGGCCCTGGTCAGTTCCTTTTTTTTTTGGCTCAACAAGTTTTGCTGCTATGAGAGGGGGAGGGTTTCTTAAAAATCAAAAAGGGGGCGTGATGCCAAAAAGTTTAGGAACCACTGTCCTAGCATAAGTGGTTAAGGAGAATAATTTGTATCCTTCCTACTTGTAGCAACCTTTTAGGTACTTGAAAAAATATGTCCCCTCTCAGTCTTCTGTTTTCCAGATTAAATAAAACCAGTTCTTTCAATTTCCTCTCATAGGTAGGACTCTACCAAATTTATGGCCATGAAAAATGCATCAGACTGTTGGCAAAAGCCCCAATGTTGACATAACATGGGCAAAATACTACTTTTGATGGTATAAGATCATTTCATTCTCTTAACAGATAGAAACTATACACGGAAAAGCACTTTTCTGCCAGAATAATTATATCCACACTAGGAGGATTTTTTAGGAGTAACTATACTAGAAAACTATTTCTACTGTAGACTACACCAATCTTATTTCTAGTGGACCGTAATATAAGCTATGCATAATTCTTTTTTGTCGCATATATTCTTTCTTTACTTAAAAATAATTAACAGAGGAAATAGTGATAATTTGTGGTTTCTCTAGTTTATAAATTAATATTAGCTTATTTATGTGCAATGTAAGCAGAGCTCATACAACTTTACTAAGTAAAGTCAAAAACATTTTCCTTTAAGAAAAATAAACCTCCCTGAATTTCACAGTTATTAGTTTGTGTTTTGTTTTTATAATTTACCTGGTTTACAGGATGAAAGAGACCAAACTGCTTGAGAGCCTATTTCCCGAACAGTACCAGTCCTTTCCAACTGCTTGGGATCAGCACCTGGTGGTGTCTTGTTAGGTGTGGTCATTTCCCACTAATGAAAGAAAAAAATAAGAGTGCAAAGTTCTCTCTTGTGCTCACCAGGATGGGAAAAATAGATTTTGAGCAGCTCAGCTAAGAGTTTTACATTGTCAGTTCCTAGAAATACACATAAGAATAAAGTTTACTTCTTTAAAAACCTTCATAAGGCATGCAAGTAGTTCATCAGAATATTTATCAAATGCCATTTTATGTACATTATCTGTCTCTTCATCTCTCTTCTTGAAGCTATTGCACTCTATATGTAAATAGTCACTGGAGTGACTACGCATGTGGGCAGTGAGAAACCCAAGTTCAAATCATTGCTCCAATGACTATTTATAAAAGCAAATGAAAAGCTTCAAAACCAGAAGAGATGGAAAAACATGCTTCTCCTCCCAAATATTCTCTATGCCTGGGTCTCTCAACTAGAGTAGAGATTTTAACCCACATCTCTGCTCTCCTAAGTAAATGTTCTAACCACAGGGATACACATTGTAAGCTCAGCACCACCACCATTTCCCCTAATTTTTTAAACTAGCCTTTAAAAATACCTGGAAAGAAAATCTTTTGATTGAATGATATGTTTTGAAACAGGCTTTTTCAATTCAGTGACACTTTTTGGAAGTTTGATTAACTGTATGTGATTTTTTGGGAAATATTAGTAAATCAGTTCACCAGTTCTATGAGCAGAGTAAAAACATTTACTTCACAGGCAGAAGAACATCATCTACCGTTAAAGGTGGCATGACAACTCTCTTCCTAGGGGTAAACTTCAATTGCTTTTAATATTTTATCTTGTCCTGAGCTCAGGTGGGGACCTTTTTTGAAATTCTGAGCAAATACTTCATCCATATTTGAGAATAAAAAGCATGGAGGAAAACATGAATCTTATATGCTGCAACTTTTTCTTTAAAGAGTAAAAGGAAATCTGCCCCCCCCTTTCCCATAGCACTTCACCAGTCTGAAGTTAGGCAAGGAGGTAGTCTAGATCACATACATGCCTTTTCATGGTCTGTGCAAACTAGGTTATGCGAGTGCGGGGAGAGAGATTTTGCATGCACTCTGAATGTAATGTGATCCGTTAACAGAGGATCAATATTTGGTTACAAGCAGGCACCTGTAGATTAGGAAAATTCATAGGGTATCCCTCTATCTCCCATACGATACAAGGTGTGACAGACAACCCCCCATGCTTTATGAAATTGTCTTATGGATAGAAATATGCTCTGGACAAAATATCTCATGTAATCTATCAATTTTAATGTCTCACTGCTGAATCGGTATCTCTTATTTTGGTGTATGTATCACTCTTGTATGTGAAGTTAGAAATATAAGGTAGAGCACTGTTTATGGTTTTAAATGTGTAAATAAAAGCTATCAAAGGTGTTTCCAATGTCTGGGTGATCAACTTGATGACCTGTAAACAGTCTTTGTCTTTTAAATCTTACTAATGGACCTAAAGATTATAATATTATTATAAGCAGGGCTCGCTGAACCACAGATTGCAACCTGGAAGAGCCAGGTTTGGGCAATCTACTCACCACAGGCAAGTAGATTGCATTATTTGTCGAGCCCTGATTATAAGGCAATTTCAAAAACCAGCTGGAGAGAGAAGCTGCAGAATTTGATTTCATTGTTTGACACCTGCAATAGAGATTTAAACAAAGACCTTAAATGGATGGCCCTCTACATTCCAAACCCTTATGACAAATAGCCAAGCCCTGGGTATTTAAGAGTACTTACAACCCACTCTATCAGCCTCATTTAGCATGGATATTCTAAGGCTATGTCTAGACAGCCACATTATTTCAAAATAACTAGTGTTATGCTTTATTTCGAAATAAGTGCTGTGTAGACAGCATCAAAACTTGAAATAAGCTATTTTGAAATAAGCTACGTAATTGACATAGTTCAATGTGAGTAACTTATTTCGAGTTAAGCCCTACTGTGTAGACGCGCCCAAAGGGTACATCTACATTTTTTTTAGACTCTAAGGTGCTGAAAGGCTATTTGTTGTTTAAGTGTATTCAGTTACAGACTAACAGAGCTACTCCTCTGAAACTTTTATTTACTATTAAGCCCAGTGGAAACAATTGTTACCTGGGGGAGCCATCAGTGTGTGCAACCTCCTTTCACTGTTAAAGGGGGCTTACCTGAATGATTTATTTGGGGTTCTGATTGCATTTGGGGGTTGGTTTCCTGGATGCTGTGCCTGAAACTACATTCTCCTCAGAGCTCTGTACCTTGGCTGGGAAAGACCAGGAGATCTAACTCTGCAGGACAGGGTGGTGAGAAGCTCCAGAGAGCAAGGAGGCATGTGTCCGTAGCTTTATCAGCACTCTGGAGAGCAGCCCCAAGGGGTTTTCTGTGACCACACTGTCACACAAGGCTGTGGAATAGCACATACGCAGCTGACTTGTTATCCACATGAACTCCACATCACTGTAGAGAATCTTAACTCACAATCTTTAATATATTTATCCTCAACATCCCAGTAAGGTAGGGAAGTACTATTACCCCTATTTCACAGATAGGGAAGAACTGAATCAGAGACAGACTTGTCCAGAATTACACAGCAAGTCTGTTGCAGGGGACAGAACTTAAGCCAGGTCTCTCAAGTCTTAAGCTAATGCCCTGACCACTGGACCACACATTTATTCATATTGCACTGAGTGCTGTTCTTATCTCTAGCAAGCAAATTACAAGGTTGAATTTTTGTTTCTTCACCATTTTTTAAAGCATTAGTAGGCGGCTGTGCCCCTTGCTCGCTATGCTCGCCAATTCCTCTCTCAGGGGCTAGGCAATCCCGGGTCTCCCCCTAGCTACCAGGGAAGGCCAGGCTGCGATCGCGCCAGCCTAAGCCCTGCCCTTTATTCCTCCCTTCCTCCCCCCCCATCTCCCTTCTGCACCCCAGCCTGAGCCCTT